TGTGTGTGTGTGTGTTTATGTGTGTGTGTGTGTGTGTGTGTGTGTGTGTGTGTTTGTGTGTGTACACGTGGTGAAACACCAAACCAATGTGCCAGGATCTGGACAATAAAGATGTATCTTATGTTATCTTATCTTATCTAAACAGTCCTCAATGGCGACCACTTTCACCGCGCTCGACTATTGTCTGTTTGTGGCTGTGCTCGCTATCAGCGCCCTAATCGGGGTCTACTACATGCTCAGGGAAAAATGGCGGAAAAGGGAGACAACCGCCGAGGACTTGCTTATGGGAGGGCGGGAAATGGGCGTATTTCCGGTAGCCATGTCCCTTCTGGCGAGCTACATGTCCGCCATTACTGTTCTGGGAATCCCCACGGAGATGTACGTCTACGGCGTCTCCTATTGGCTGGTCGCCGCGGCGGGGCTGATCACGTTTCCTCTGACGTGTTTTCTCTTCCTGCCTTTTTTCCACAACTTGCAGCTGTCTAGCGCGTATGAATATCTGGAGCTGAGGTGAGTACATCGTCATGCTTATCATCTGCTCACATAATTGGTCTCCTTTAAGCACATTAAGGGGGCTATCTCAAAACAATGCTGTTTTGAGAAAATCGGAGGTAAAGTTTTTGCCCCTTGTTCAGTTTCTTTAAAAGACAAGGAGAGTTTTCTCTATAACCAAACACATATCACACCGCAATGAAACCAAACTTCACCTATAGATAGGGCAATGACCACTTTTGGTGTTGGTCAAGATTTCTGGAAACCCACGAAATCTGTGTTAGCCCGCTTGTCCTTAAAAGCGACCAATTCTGTATACCCAGGCAGGTTTAGGGATAGAATTAGTTCTCTGTCCCAGCAGAAATCTGTCCCTCAGTTATGTCCAGGGGATGGATTGCTGTCCTTAATAATTTTTTTTAAAATAATAAATATTATATACATTTGTTTAAAGTTCTCTGTCCCAGCAATAGTGCACGCTATTCCCTCACGCCATGTCACTCATGCGTCACAAGTTCTGTACCGTAGGGTTGGCGTTTTCATTTATACTTACTCAGTTGTATGTCTTAGTCTCTTTCATGCTGAGATCATCATCATATAATATATATATATATATATATATATATATATATATATATATATATATATATATATATATATATATATATATATATATATATATGTGGCGTCGGTGGCCTAGTGGTTAGGCTGTCGGACTCGCAACCGTAAGGTTGTGGGTTCGAATCCCGTCAGGGGCCCGACGTTGTGTCCTTGGGAAAGGCACTTTGCACAAATTTTCCTCACTTCACCCAGGTGGAAATGGGTACCCAGTTATAGACAGTGAAAGATCTTGTCAGTTTGATAGTGTTTGAGCGCGTGAAATCCGCAGCTTGCACTGTATGCTTCCGCGGGAGCTGAGAATGTTTCTGAGTGTTCTCAGACGGTCTGCTGGGGTAATAATAGTTGTAAAGTGCATAGAGCAAGCTCTTGAGCATGGATATGCGCTATATAAATGCAATTATTATTATTATTATTATTATTATTATTATTATTATTATTATTATTATTATTATTATTATTATTATTATTATACATATATATGTTGTTGATTTATTCTAAAGCGGAAATGTATTAACACCGACTCGCAATACTTTTACCATACCGGTTTGCTATGCCATTAGTCTGTTTGTCTCTGATCTGGTCATGAATTTCGAGAGGAACATCTCAGATAAAGTTTGGAAAAGCAACTTAAGTTACATCAGTAAGCGTTGTAAGTACAATTATCGGGCGGAAAAACGGATGAAAGATATGAAACTGTTCAAATTCAATTTTGTTTTAGCTGATGTTTTGTGTTGTTGTTTGTGTGTTTGTTTGTTTTTTTGGGGGGTGGTGGTTTTTCGGCTGCACCTTGATTCATGACGGTGCGTCTTCCGCCTTGCTTTTCTACATAGCCGTATCAGAAATTGGCTGATTGGTTGGTGATCAGTTGGTTGATTAGTTAGTCGATTGGTAGGTTGATAAGTTGTCCGGTAAGTTGTTAGATCAGCAGTTTTATTGGTTGGTTGATTAGTTAGTTGATTGGTCGCTTGAAAGGATATATAACGGAATGGGGGGTGGGTGGGATGTCAGACGACAGGCATCAGGGTTTTTTTTCGAAAAATCAATTCATTTTGTGCGTGTCAGAAAGTATACCCAGCCCGTTCTGTTCAGTGTACAGATCTAGTGTAGAACAGCAACAGAAAAAGTACAGATCAATATTCAAAACCCAGGCAGAGGCTATGAATCACAACAAGGTTAAGTCACATTTTCCTTTTTTTTAAAATAGAGTTCTGCATAATATTATAATCATTCGAAAGCTGCGAAAAAGGGCTAGATCTATCTCTTACTCGCGCCGAGGAGACGCTTTCTGTTTCTACGCCCAGTTGTTCTTGTTCAAAGTTGCAATTAGGACTTGGACGTGTTCAACACATTTGTGTGT